ATTTACGAGTTGAACGCACATGAACGCCACCACAAAGTCGTTATTACGAGTGGGAAACTCGAAATTTTCTTTAAGCCCCTTGCTGGGGACGTGTCAATGAGAAACATGGCGGAATCGATGGATTCAACGTCTGTAGTTGACGGTAAATTTTTGTTTAAATTGATAGTTTAGTTGTCCTATAAGCTTAAATTGGTCATGTTCTTGTTACGCAGCTAGTTAATGAAATACAAGTAAAAAAATGCTATCATTTTTGCACCTATAGGTGAAAAATCTTTTGATTTGCCATGTTGCATGTTTTAAAAATATTAAAAATGCAAAACACACCTGATGCGAGTTTTTTGCTCTTCATTTTCTTTAAGCAGAGTTAACAGACCCTGTTGTATTTTCTTGTCATTTATTAAAAGAAGGTTGAATGCACCTGACGTCGTAATTACGACTTGTCAACTTGTAAGTACGAACGTCCCAGGAGGACTTGAACGCAGCATTAGAGTAGCCTAGCAAGAACCACTTATAGCAAAGATTAAAGTGCCTTAGAAAGCCATTTTACATACTTATTTCATTTTAGTTCTTGAATTTAATCGAAGCAATGTTCAGTGCAGTGGTATAAAGTATCATTTGTCATACCACACAGTTCATTAACAATTAGAATTAAGAATAATTAATCTCTACATCCAACATTGATCAACAATTTTATCATAGCATTTACTTTTGGCCTTTATTAACAAATAACATTTTTTTTTAACTGTTATATCTATAACTGGCTTATTTTGTAACATGAAGAATATACGGATATCATAGCATTTTGAGAAATATGCACTGTGTTTAATGGATACAGTTGTGAAAATGTGTTTCTAGATGGCTAAATGCATCAGCAATTCATAAAGTCCGTAAAGGCAATTCTGCTTAAAAATAGAATATTTGACTTTTGTTTTGTTTCCTTCATTAACACAGCATGGGACATGACAGACAAAGCCTCTGGAAGGCAAGCCTACAACCTAGCCAAAAAAGCATAATGGCTAATGCTAACACTGTCGCTTTGGTGGTATGCAGGGAAGGAGACCAGTGTCATTTTGAATGTCAAAGGAGGAAAGGCTTCACTACACTGTAAAGGATCGGAGGATCCTCAAATGCAAACAGTGTGTGTTTTGCTTCAAGAGAGCAACCATACATTTGCGTTGTGTTTTACTTTCTTTTATAATCATTTATTCATTCATTTATTCTTCATTCATTTATAATCATTTATCATTTAATCATTTTATTAGCGGAGAGCAGGGGCGAAAGTACCACTTTTCAGAAAAACGTAATTTTAAAAGATAATGTTTTAGACAGAGATATATATTTGCTGTGGTCAGTAACTCACAAGTGTGGTCTATAAATACCAGGTGGTATTTTGTACAAATGTAAAACGACTTCAGTATAATTTCACTTTGAACATAAGTTGTACATTGTTACTTTTGACCCCGTCTGTTGGGACGAAAGTAACACACAATAACAAAGTAACACAAAGTAAACAGTAACACAAACAATACAAGCTAGATTTTTTGTGTTACTCTTATTTTTTATTAAATATACCTGACTGTGGCCTTGTTAATACGTAACTGCAAACATATTTTGTCCTTTATCTTTGCAAAAAATTATTAAATTACATTTTCATTTAAAATTTCAATTTCATCAAAGGTAACCCGACATAACAAACTTGCCACAACACTATGAGCCGGAAGAGTCAGGTGGCAAAAAGAGGTTAATTTGGATAGAAACCTGACTAATGTTAACAGGCATTAACAGGTAAACAGTACAAACAAACACGAACATAACAAAAGGCATTTGCCTACTCATTGTCACAGTTGTGACAGATATAATGTTCTGCACCCTCAGTGCATGCCTCATGTGACCAGAGCTGGCAAAAGAGACACTGCACCCACACTTCCCCAGGCAAGGATGAGTTGAATGTTTCCCCACACACAAGACATTCCTCATCCTTGTTCTGGGAAGCTGTGGGTGCAGTGTTTTCGATAGTGAGGAGCCTTTCCTTTGGAGCGGACGGCTTCTTCTGGATCCACTTCTTTTGCTCCTCCTCTAGAGCTGCCCTCACCGGAGAGTCCGTGAGGATCGCCGTTGACCTGCAACATTCAAAGTGAGAAAAATTGTTGTCAACATTTGTATAAATTTACAGGCAGTTATTGCTCATCCTCTGTCCACATGGTAGCAGCATGTATAAAGAAATTATTCGGGACAAAGCAAAAACCAAATGCCACTCACCTCCTTTTGCCTCTTCGTTTTGTGTCCTTTCTCGGACCAGCCTTAGGAAAGGGACATACAGCTTCTGGAATGAATGCCTGGACAGAAGTCCTGGGGCCTCATGTATCAACTCTGCGTACGCACAAAAACTTTGCGTACGCCAGCTTTCACGCTCATGGTCGGATGTACTAACAGTGAAATTAACGTGAGAATGTGCATTCCTCCACGCCAACTTCATGTCTGGCGTACGTACATTTCTCGTGGTTTTTGTCCATTGGCGACTCCTAGAGGCAATGAAGTGAAGTGGCAAACATTAGACTACGAATTGTTCTACAAGTCTATTGCACCACCACCTGTGAGAAACATTGCTATTAATTTGTAATTAATAATTGACATACTATTGTCACACGAGCCTCATGGGAATATTCTATCAATTATGCAATTAAGTAAGAACATATAAAATCATGTGCAAATTGATAACCTTAGTCTATATGGCAATGGCAGCGTTAGCCTTATTAGAGGACATTGCCAATGGCAGAATCCGAAGAGAACGAGTTTTTAGGGACCACAATGATTTTCTGGCCCACGATGATAACTGGCTTATCAGCCGTTTCAGATTTCCAAGGGCTATCCTCTTGGAGCTCTGTGATGAGTTGGGTACGAATTTGGAGAGAGAGACAGCGAGGAGCCACGCATTACCCGTCCCCTTACAGGTGCTGACAACACTTGGTTTCCTGGCAACTGGTTCTAAACTGACTGAGAGCGCAGATACAATGATGCACATTCTCACACTCGGTCAGTGGTAGAGCGGGCGATTGGGCAGCTGAAATGTCGCTGGCACTGCCTTGACAGGACCGGGGGGATGCTGTTATACCGCCCTGAGAAGGTGTGCCACATCGTGCTGGCCTGTGGTGTGCTGCACAATGTCGCGCACAGGCACGGCATACCACTTGGTGAGGTGGTGGCACCGCCAGATGACCCCGACCCAGGACCAGTGTATGTGCAGCCCAACCAACAAGCCATTCAGGCCCGTCAACATGTGATTGCGACAATATAAATGGTAATCAGAGACCAAGTTTATTTTTTGACCAATTCCTTTAATGAGTGGCTTATGTCTGTCAGTGATATTTTTCAGGTGACTGTTAATTTCTCAGATGGCCCTAACGATTTGCTGTTGTGACTCCAGAACAGCATGCGTCAAGACGCAGCCAGATGGACGGGCCTCAGCACTGGGGGGAGCACTGGAAACACTGGACACACTGGGCCCTGGCTGCTCAGGAGGGGCAGACTCCGAGTGGGTGCCAGTGGACGTTCCTGCTGTTGCACCATATAAGTCCAAATAAACACAGGCACATGTTAACTGTGATTTGAGTCTGTTCCTTATTAATGGGTATACGCATTTGCTATAAATGCCATGGATATGTAAAATCTCTGGTGTATGCTACTTTTGGTAAGCTATATTGCATGCATTTGAAAATTAAATGCGGTCTGGTAAGCTATGTGTACCAAAATTAAGCAAATAAATGAGAAATTAGTTACCTTCGTGGCAGTCCTGTAAATCCGAGTCTCCCACCGCAACGGATACTACTCCGGAGAGTAGCCAAAATAGAGGCAACTCTCTGCTCAAAGGGTGTAAGTTCATCGACCCCTGTACCACTGCCTGTTCTGCCCACACTTTGTCGGTGCGCAGCAGTTCTCCGCTTAACTTCCACCTTTATATCAGACCTTTTTTTTTAAGCTCATTTACAGTGCGATTTTCCGATCCCACCGTGTTGACGGCATCAGCCAAACTGTCCCACTCATTGTTTTTTCTTTTGTTATTAATTCCAGAGGACAAAGTTCCAAATAAAATATTTTTTCTCGTTTCTACCTCTGATAGTAACACCTCCAATTCACTTTCAGTAAAGTTTCGTTTCTTGCTGCTTGTTTTTGACATTTTCTTTCTGCTTGCTTTTGCCAAAGTGGACTCATTACCACATTAAAATTTATTTCATTGAGGGAGGAGACAGGGCGGGGTTTTGTGCTCGTGCATGTGCGCTCAATTTCACATTAATTGGGATGTACAAAGAGAATATGCTTGGGATCCTGCGTACGCAGAGATTCATACATCTGATTTTTTTTGTGCGTACGCACCTTTACAGCTTTGTCCGTACGCAATGTTTTAGTATGAATTCAACGCAAGTCTTTGTACATGAGGCCCCTGGAACTCAGGCCTAGACTAGTGTGCCTGTCGGCTCCCCCTGGGACATCAAGCAGACATTTTCCCCCTTCTTCAGGTGGGACAGCTTAATTAGCAGACACAAACAATTATATCAATATCGTGCACAATTCTATTTTAGTTATTATTTTACTAAAATCATTCGGGATTAACCAAGTTCTATCTTATTTGATCTTACCTGAACAGACAGCTGAGTGGTCAGGGATGGCAGACTCTAAACAGGCGTCCCTGGTTGAACCACCAGGATACGCTGGCAGCAGCCCTCCCTCAAACAGACTCTGGCTGAGTGGGTGTTTGTTGGAATGTGGTGTGGGACCACATGGTACCAGTGAAGGAAACGGGCGGTCGGTGACATAGGCAGGTGAAAAGTCTTGCTCCTCAAAAATATCTGGGTTAAAGGGGCAGATGCCAGTGCACACAAAGCCAGACGTTATGTTTCTGGGTGTCGCTGCTCGTGGTAGAGCTGTGGCCACTAGGCTTGGAACATCATAGATGGTCAAAGTTTTTCCAGGGTGTGTTCTCATCCAGTGATCTGCTGCCGTGTTTATATATATAGCTTCAGTGGACCAAAGACGTTCCTGTCAAGTGGCTGGAGACGATGTGAGCAGTGGGGTGGGAACGATAGTAGGACTATGCCGTTTGACCGACAAAAGTCAATTGCTGCCACAGAAAGGTGTGACCAATGATTGTCGAGGAGGAGAAGCACCTTCGATTCCAGGGTCACACGGGTGTGTCTGGCAAAGTGCTGGAGAAAGGCCAGAAAGTCTGTATCCTGCATCCAGCCTGAGCTATTTGCAGAACCAGCAGAGCCAATGGGACCATTTCTCACAAAGTGGTCCTGGAACTTCTTCCTGGGAAAGATGAAGTACGGGGGAATGCAATTGCCTTGTGCATTTACTGCAAGGGCAGTGGTGACCAATGTCCCCCTCTCCCCAGAGGTCACTGCACCGACCTGGCGCTTCCCCTTGGTGGCAATTATTTTATCTGGCACTTGGACTGTCGTGGTACCTGAAAATTAATTATAAACTTTGATAAGCTTTCATGAACATTTGTAGGTGTGTATACCTAGATGTGTGTGTGTATAGTTAGTGTTTGTATATAGTTACATATTTATTTTCATTATTGTTTTATTATCGCTATATCTGTATTTATTTATTAATTTATTTATTTATTTGTATATGTATTTATTTTAGCTAGGTGTGTGTGTAGTGTTTTTATATAATTATATATTCACCTCATAGTTTTATAATCTGTATATATTTATCTGTATAGGCTACAGTATGTATGTATATCAAGGTCTATAGTTTATATATGTTATTAAATTTTACATAGCAATGAATTTGTCTCGTGTATTTTAAACCACTGAATCACTCTAGCTTTTTAGTTTTAATGAATTGTAAAATTTACCTGTTTCATCCACGTTCCAAATGTCCTTTGCTTCAAAAAGGTAGCGGGCAAGAACTGTCAGCAGGTTGTTATAAAAAGCAGTCACATTTGTTTTATTGAAGCTGGTGGAACGGGACATGCTGGTGGCTTGAGGTCGGCGAATAGACAATGTATTGTTGCGTTTAAGGAAGGAGGTGAGCCAGTCCTTTCCAGCCATCTTGGTGGCATCCCATACATCTGGATATTTGCAGCCATATCTGCTGGCCAATTCGTATGCAAATTTGCGCACCTAAAACAAAACAAAAATGGTTAGATGGAGATTGTTTATGACATGATTGAGATAAAATAAGACTTTACTGATCCTGCACTGAGGATTTTTATATGTTGCAGCAGCTTCAGAGACGGTGGACAATGAAACATAATTTAGAAAGATAGGACAAAAATGTCAATAAAAATAAAATTAAGATAAAAATTAAAAATATATTTAAAGAATACACAAATGTCACATTTTGATAAGCATTTAAAATTGTTTTAGTAAGAGCAGTGTGAGTGAGCTGCATGTTGAGTGTTTTTGCTGTACTACACTGACCTCCTTAGGAGACAGGCCAAGCCAGACGTTATGTTTGTGGGTGTCGCTGCTCGTGGCAGAGCTGTGGCCACTAGGCTTGGAACATCATAGATGGTCAAAGTTTTTCCAGGGTGTGTTCTCATCCAGTGATCTGCTGCCGTGTTTATATATATAGCTTCAGTGGACCAAAGACGTTCCTGTCAAGTGGCTGGAGACGATGTGAGCAGTGGGGTGGGAACGATAGTAGGACTATGCCGTTTGACCGACAAAAGTCAATTGCTGCCACAGAAAGGTGTGACCAATGATTGTCGAGGAGGAGAAGCACCTTCAACTCCAGGGTCACACGGGTGTGTCTGGCAAAGTGCTGGAGAAAGGCCAGAAAGTCTGTATCCTGCATCCAGCTTGAGCTATTTGCAGAACCAGCAGAGCCAATGGAACCATTTCTCACAAAGTGGTCCTGGAACTTCTTCCTGGGAAAGATGAAGTACGGGGGAATGCAATTGCCTTGTGCATTTACTGCAAGGGCAGTGGTGACCAATGTCCCCCTCTCCCCAGAGGTCACTGCACCGACCTGGCGCATCCCCTTGGTGGCGATTATTTTATCTGGCACTTGGACTGTCGTGGAACCTGAAAATTAATTATAAACTTTGATAAGCTTTCATGAACATTTGTAGGTGTTTATACCTAGATGTGTGTGTGTGTATAGTTACATATTTATTTTCATTATTGTTTTATTATCTATATATCTGTATTTATTTATTTATTTGTATATGTATTTATTTTAGCTAGGTGTGTGTGTAGTGTTTTTATATAATTCTTTATATAACTGTAGCTTTTTAGTTTAATGAATTGTAAACTTTACCTGTTTCAACCACGTTCCAAATGTCCTTTGCTTCAAAAAGGTAGCGGGCAAGAACTGTCAGCAGGTTGTTATAAAAAGCAGTCACATTTGTTTTATTGAAGCTGGTGGAATGGGACATGCTGGTGGCTTGAGGTCGGCGAATAGACAATAGCCGTGTTTCCATCCAAAGTTGCGAATTTAACTTGTGCGCAAACCTGGAATATCGCATAAAACATTTGCGAACAAGCATCGTTTCCATCCAACAAGTCAAAGATAACAAAATCGTCACTTCCTGATAAACTGGCACTATAATTCACTATTATAAAGAAAAGTAGGAGAATATAATAATGTTCATATATAATAAATTACTTGAGCCTCAGAGCGAGCAGACGAAACACAATGAATTTTCGGAGGTGGATGCTGCTGTTTGGGAACGCAGTCGTGTAAGACATTTCTGGGAGGCAATTATACAGAACTACTTTGATGACAGACTTTGCTCGTGCATTTCCGAATGACCATAACAACATTTCAGATGCTGTGGAATGAGATCGGTCCACTGGTTAGTCAGGTTTTGCCGTCCCAAAGCGCATCCCATTAGTCGCATCAACCCTTTTTTTCCGCACAAGTCAAAAACCACCTCAAGCGAGCATAAAAACTTTTTTGCGAATTGAGGGATTTTTATTCAAAATTTGGCATTTCCATCACTCGTTTCTGATGCGATACTTCAAAGTGCGCATTAAAATAGGGTGATGGAAACATAGCTAATGTATTGTTGCGTTCAAGGAAGGAGGTGAGCCAGTCCTTTCCCGCCATCTTGGTGGCATCCCATCCTTCTGAATATTTGCAGCCATATATGCTGGCCAATTCGTATGCAAATTTGCGCACTTATATATATAGTGTGTTTTGTTTGGTTTTTGCAATATACTCGATAATGTCATGATGTCTCACGAGTTCAGTAGGCCTATTTGCGCTAAACCTGCGCAGTTTTGGCTTGCATGAACTTCCCCAAGAAATGAATGAGTGAACATAACTTATGAAAAGTAACCCGCCAAATTGGCTAGTGATTTGACAGCATTACCTGCCACAGCTGATTATTACCTGCATTTGGTGGGTGTTAATTTCAAACCCTGGACATGACATATGCCATGCGACTTAGCAGCTGCCCTGAGACTGATGTTCCTGACATGTATGTCCAGAAACGCCCTCTCATAAATATCTGGCTGAATCAGACCCCGCATCAACTGGCAGAATACTATAGCAGCAGAGGAGGCGGCAAGACCAGGCCAGTGGAGAGACCAGAGCAAGGCACCAGAGAGCTGAGCTCAGATACTTATTGACCATAACTCTGAAGCACCCCAGACGCCAGGCAAGGGAACCAGTGGACAGGACAGGTCAGTTTTGCTCAACTCGTCAGTGAACAACGGCTCTGTGTAGTTAATGCTGCACAAATTACTCCAAGACAGGCAAGAGAATAAACAAAAAAGGACTAATAAAAAAAAAGGTAAAAATTATTAAATTAACCAACACAAACACCTAAATTATCAACCAAAAAATGAAAACAAAAGATCAGGACTAAGAACTAAATGAATACTAAAATAAAAGCAAAAAGACAAAAACAGACGAGGCTGTGGTAATGAGGAAACCAGGAGGAGGGGCTAAAGAAGCACATGGCTGAGAAAAACAATCAACTACGCCATGTGCTGACACAAGACAACATAAACACAAGAAACAAACAGAGTGTCAGGGCAAAACCCTGACACTACCCCCCTCCCAACGGACGCCTCCTGGCGTCCAATTCCACCAAACAGATCATAGTTGCCAGATTGAAAGTGCAGGCAGCGGTGGGAGGGGAGGGGGTGTGGGGGGGCTTGAAGTCAGAGTCATAAGCAGTTAGAACTGGGCTGGAGCAGACTGTACAGAAATCTTCAGAGGTCATGACAGGGAGAGCAGTATACTCGAGGACAGCCTCCACAGGTGAGAAAAACAATCAACTAGGCCATGTGCTGACACAAGACCACAAACACAAGAAACAAACAGTGTCAGGGCAAAATCCTGACACTACCCCCCCTCCCAACGGACGCCTCCTGGCGTCCAATTCCACCAAACAGATCATAGTTGCCAGATTGAAAGTGCAGGCAGCGGTGGGAGGGGAGGGGGTGTGGGGGGGCTTGAAGTCAGAGTCATACGCGGTTAGAACTGGGCTGGAGCAGACTGTACAGAAACATCTTCAGAGGTCATGACAGGGAGAGCAGTATACTCGGGGACAGCCTCCACAGGTGAAACATGACTAGCAGGAACATACTCTTGAGGGACTCGTCAGAAACAGCAGATAACCAGTCTGGTATGATCTCAGTGGGCGCAACTTCACTAGCAGGAACATCCTCTGAGGGACTCGTCAGATGCAGCAGATAGCTGGTCTGGTATGATCTCAGTGAGTGTAACTTGACTAGCAGGAACAACCTCTGTGGGCTTAACAAGACAAACAGGAACACATCTCCATGGCCATGACCCAACTGGCAAGGACGGCCTCAGAGGACATAACAGGACAGACAGGAACATTTTATATGGCCATAACTTGACAGGCAGGAACACGGTCTATGGCCATGTCCCAACTGGCAGGAACGACCTCTGTAGGCGTGACAGGACAGGCAGGAACACCTTGTATGGCCCAGAAAGAATAGGTAGGGACAACCTCTGAAGGCATGACTTGACAGACAGGAATAGTCTCCATGAACTTGACTGGCAGAAACCACTTCTGTGGATCTGACATAACAGGCAAGAACCATCTCTATGGACTTGACACAACTGACAGGAACATCTGTGGACATGACAGACAGGAACGATCTCAAAGGGCTTGACTTGACTAACAGGAACAACTTCTGTGGACATGACATGATGGGTAGGAGCAATCTCAATGGACTTGACTGGCAGAATTAACTTCTGAAGGCGTGACATGAAAGGCTGGAACGGTCTCTGGCATAACTTCTGTAAACAAGTCAAATAGACCGGGAGGCTTGGGAGAATACTTTGTAACTGCTACTTGAGGCTCTGACACCAAGGCCACAAATTAGAGACCTCTGGACTCACAGGGCTTGAGGGTTCTTGACTCGGGTCCTCCTGGACCCATGGGTTGAGTCTTCATAAGGAAGGCCCATAAGTTAAATTGCATGTCCCCGCCTTCTCCACATATGAGGGGGATGACAAAATATTGATCAGCCAACACAGGGTTAATTGAGGCAGACTTGATTGACTCAGAGGTGGCTACAATGGCCTGGGTCAACACTGGAATGACCCGAAATGACTTGACTGCAATTGGGACATATTCTGTTGGTATAATATGACATAAACATGTCTGCAACACCCAGAAAATCACCACATTAGCAGCGGGACAAAAGTAACAAGTGTTACTTTCTTCCAGAAAGGAACTCCTGACATTTAAACCCGATTTACTTTTTTACTGGAAAAACTCTGACGAGGCAAACTTTAGGATGTGTTACAGCACTAAATAACATGTAGATTGATCATTACTGTGACACATGAAACGAGAAACACAACTTGTAATTAGAAAAAAAGTACAGCTTCAGTAATTTACTTACCGTACTTGAAAACTGCTTGCCGGACCTAACCGCGGGAAGCGATGACGAAATCACGTGATATTTGGCAGCTCCGTCAAGGGTTGCGTGCTGAATGTGCTGTCATAGCTTGGAATGCAAATGTAATCAGGTCTCTGAGAAAATCGCATTGTTACTTTCGCCCCGGTTTTCCCTACTCCATTTAATCATATAATAATTTATAATAATCGTAGTCATTTATATAGCCCTTTCATTGATTCATTAATTGATTAGTCACTTATATTATAGTTGTTTTTATACTATTTTCCATTGTTGTTTAGTCTCATGACTATGTGTTTCAAGGGCCGTTTGTCTTCATGTATAAGAGATACAGCAGAATGTTTATGAAAACTCAAGGTTTATGGGATGTTGTTTTGAAGCCGTTTTGGTATAACAGTATATGTTGAATTTGTGCTGGTCAGACGAAGTTTGAACATTGAGACATACGCAACTAAGACTATTCAATAAACTCTGCTCCTTTCATCATCACTTCGTCTCCTGCTTCTGCTCTTCGCTGGCTTTTTCCTCAGTCAACTTCTTAGCTGATAGAAGACTGTTTATGAAGTTTTTGGTATTTTGGGTACCAGACAAAACTTCCTGTTAACAGGTTTTGGGTATTAGACTACTTTGCTGAAGAGTTGTTCTGGTACCAGTCAAAACAGATATTTTCTGATGGGATCTGGTGTCCGGGGCTGATCTTCAGCTTGTTTGCCATTAAACAATAGTTTTAGACTGAACTTTTTTTTAGAGTTTACACTGAAAAATAAGAGAAGTCACAGAATTTTTGTGACAGGTAGGATTTAGTTTACGGCATTTCTTATTCACTTCTATAGTATCCATAAACAGCGATTGACTGTCGCACAACTCTGACTGAACTTCACTGACAAGGCTGTAATGTGATTGGTTATCAAATCACACATGTTCCAAGTTGACTGTTACGCTTTCCCTTCAATGGTAAGTACTACAGACCCGTGTAATTCCCAATTATAAGACCATCTCTATGACAGCTTCTAAAACAAGTGTGGGGCATCCTGAAAAGTGAAGCCAAAACATTTTGATCGCCATCTGGTAGCTGGCTTCAGTATAGGTCATAAACACTTCTCTCTCCATGTAAACAATTGGGACGTGAGCCAAATTGAATAATCTAATTACATTTCAAATTAAATTTTCTCAAAGATGGTTTTCATCATTTTAGGTAGTTCTTTTCATGCTGATGTTGTAGGTTGAACCCCCGGTGGAGTGGGCACAAACACTTACAGAGCAAACTGCATAAGCCAGACAGACACTGGTTAGCTCTCCTTAGCTCCCCCAGAGCAGATGAACAGTTACTCTGATAGGTGAAATGACTGTTTCTATCCACATAAACATATAGTGCATGAACAGGGCACAGCGAATGCTTTTTATATCTTACAAATCAAGTCACCTTTATTTATATAGCGCTTTTAACAATACAGATTGTGTCAAAGCAACTGTACAGCATTTATTTGGAAAATAGTGTGTCAATGCAAAATGATAATAGTAAACACTCATTTTTCAGTTAAAGGCAGTTCATCATTGAATTCAGTGATGTCATCATCCAGCTCAGTTCAGTTTAAATAGTATCTGTGCAATCAAGTCGACGATATCGCTGGAAATTAAGTGTCCCCAACTAAGCAAGCCAGAGGCGATAGCGGCAAGGAACCAAAACTCCATCGGTGACAGAATGGAGAAAAAACCTTGGGAGAAACCAGACTCGGGGGGCCAGTTCTCCTCTGGCCAGACGAAACCAGCAGTTCAATTCCAGGCTGCAGCAAAGTCACATTGTGCAGAGGACTCAACTGGTTCCTGTGGTGTCTGTCTCTGGGGCTCATCTAGTTGTCCTGGTCTCTGCTGACATTCAGGGCTGTAGAGGTCGTCTCTAGGTCCTGATCCACCATCTGGGCTGGATACGTACTGGATCCGGGTGACTGCAGTGACCATCTGATCTGGATACAGATTGGATCTGGTGGCTACGGTGACCTCGGAATAAGAAAGAAACAGACATTAGTGTAGATGCCATTCTTCTAGCGATGTAGCAAGTACATCGGGTGTTATGAGAAGTGTTCCCGGTTCCGGCTGACCTAATGAAGCCTAAAAAGACTTTAACGGATTTGAATATTAGAAATGTGTTAGTGTGTTATGTGTAAACCAGGTTAAAGAGATGGGTCTTTAATCTAGATTTAAACTGACAGAGTGTGTCTGCCTCCCAAACAATGTTAGGTCGGTTATTCCAGAGTTTGGGAGCTAAATAGGAAAAGGATCTGCCGCCCGCAGTTGATTTTGATATTCTAGGTATTATCAAATTGCCAGAGTTTTGAGAACGCAGCAGACATGGAGGACTATAATGCAATAAGAGCTCGTTCAAATACTGAGGTGCTAAACCATTCAGGGCTTTATAAGTAATAAGCAAGATTTTAAAATCTATACACCAGGGATCGTGTTGAGAGAATCAATGCTTGAAGTGTTGTGGGCATGTCTAGGCATAAGCTTCACCACAGACATCCGGCCCACCTCCAAACAAGCATCACCAGACTAAAGGGTTCAAACTTAATGTTTTCATTTTATACTTATTAGCTATATTTAACTGCTACTTATTATATATAATATTCACATTCAAATAAATGGTTTAAAAATTTTTATTAACACCTTTACAAAACTGAAACACTGGTTTGTCGATTGCATGAGAAGTATTACATATAAGAATGTATTACAGGTAATATAAGTAAGATAGCCTATAGATATCAAAAGATATCAAAGTAGTAACCCTTTGATGTTCGTTCATGTTTAATTTGTTGTAAAGTGGAAGAGATGATCGGTTCACATGCTCTCTGCGCTGCTGCTTGAACTATATACAGGCAGATACAGCGATCTGTCACGCAACATTAAAGAGTGCCAAAATGGCATTTATTGTTTGCTTTTCATGATAAAATTAACAGAATTTGAAAGCTGAGAATTTGCCTCTTATCAGGAGACCAACTGAGCTTTTCCACCCACACTCAACAACAGTCCAGTTGTGTAGGTTCATGCTTTACAAAATTAGGAAAAACTGACCCTTTCTGTCAGAAAACGTGTCACAGCTCCTCATCCAAGCTCTACTGCAATGCTGTACTGGTGCGTTTTCCAGCCAGGGCTGCGTTTTCCTATGGTTGCAAGTTCCATTGAACTCTATTGACCTTATTCCTACGCCCCATGAAATGCTGGAACCAGCATTTTTTCATAGTAACGGTCAGTGTTGGGAAGGTTACTTTGGAAATGTAATAGGTTACAGATTACAAGTTACCCTATCAAAAACGTAATAAGTAGTGTAACTATTTCAATTACTTTATTAAAGTAATGTAACTGATTACTTTTCTAAATTTCTAATGTTTTCAACTGTTAATCATTTTCAAACATGTAATGCAGGGAGGGTTAACCTTACAGAACTCAACACTGATTACTATCACTTTCGAAATCCTTTACCCCTTGAATTAAGATTATAATAATTAAATTTTAAAGCACAGCCACTACAAAATCAGACTTTAGCACCTCTTTTTATTTTGAGATAATTCTGAGGTTAAATACCGATTTAAAACTATAACAAGAAATATTTTAATAGTTATGATACTGTTTTTGAAATCAAATCTTTGCATAGCTATGACAGGAAACACTGGCAT